GGGGGTGTGAGATAGACTTACCTCCACGTAGTGCATCCTGGGCAACGTATATTCATACAGCAAAAATGTTTACTAACTGGCAGTTGACTTCTGACTTCAAACTACCATCACCCCCACTGTTTGTCACATTCGACTACTTCCACAGTACTCACCTCGCCTTTTGCTTCTTCTGTGTACATCTCCTTTACATCTTTGAAGCACTCATCTGCCCCCCCCATCCTCGCGCCTTTTTTTCACTTTGATATTCCTTCCCCTCTGTGAAGTCTGAAGTCAACTAAATGGCTAATGATCACTATCAAAACGCCTGCCATTTGGTATAAATGCATAAATATCTGGCAAATTAACTTTCTACGAATTCGCAAAATGTGACCGTGGAAATTTCATTGTATGTGTACGACAATTAAATATACTGAACCAAGGGCAAGTGAAATTTTTTAATTTATGTCTAAGTAAGTGGATATTACTGAGAATTTGATGATTGAGGCGGGGGGCGGGCTAAAATTTGATTATATTTTCCTTTTGAAAGTGCAGCTGGTTTGGTAAAAGCGTAGAATCTAAATGTGAATTTAGTTTTTTGCTTTTATTTTAGAGTATTCAAGCTCCTGTTGTGAACAATTGATTACATTGAAAGTTTAATATTTTGTGTATGGAATGGTTATCGAAAAAAGGATATCCAATTCCACTGTTTATGAGGAAATCTTTAAGTTTAGACTTGTTCATCGAAATAAGTATTGAGACAATTTGTCTTGAAATTTTTTATGATCTGAAAGATTGCCCTCTACTTTACAAGACGCCTTGTTTCACTTTATTGTGTAAGCTCTATGGTATTGAAATAATAAGTATGGGAGTTTTTAATATCAATTTTAATGATCTGAATTCGGTTCATTAGACAATCAAATTTATCAAAAGAGTTATTTATTAACCAAACACTTTTAATAATCATTAAATTGATTTTAGCCAATAAATCTATGTCTGTAGTGTAAAAATTATTAGAAAACGCAATAGTCAATTGTATTATTACCGAAAATAAAAGTATTTAATAGTAAAATTTTGTAGTGACTTAAGCATTATAGTGATCGAGAAAAGTTGGCAAGCAATTTTTTCCCTACTTTCAGCCATTTTATGAATGAGAATCAAGTTATCACAATGTCAGGGATCAATTGCAGTTATATGATTACCAGTTGTTTATCAAAAAATTTCACAGTTCATAAGCTGACAGGTTAATTATTTAAAATACAAAATGGATCAACGCAACCTTCATTTCCTATTTTTAATCTTTTTTTATAAATATTTAATATGATTTAATTTAACAATTGCATTAATTTCAACTAGTAGGCTAATTTATTTATATACTAATTTAAAATGTATAACCTTGAAAAGTGTGAATCTCCTTAAGGCAAGCTTATGAATTGGTTGGTGATGAATGCTTTTCCATTTGTTTATTAATTTAATACGTAATCAAGGAAAGAGAATAGAATTTAAATGCCAATTTTTAATTTTTAAATTGCAAATATGATTATCCGTATCACTTGTATGATTATTTCATTCAGTTCTGGAGAGCAGGCTCATTTAATGGTTGAATGTTATTTATATAGCTTTTGGAAGTAGGAGTATTGATTTCGGTATTTATTTTTACTCCGTAATGTTGTCTTAATCTAACTTGATTAGAGATCATGGACATCAGATTGAAATATCGTCATTTAAGACCTGCAAATATGAAGGCACTGAATGATGAGTTTGGAAAAATAACTAAGGACAGTAACGAATTGGAGGATAAACTTTCGATTTTGGCGAAATCAAGAAAGTCTTTGCACACTGCTCAGATGTATCGGACTCATTTTACTATTTGGCTTGATGCTTGGCGTAAACTTCAAGATTCCTTTCGGAGTATTTATTCGGATTTACGGTCCTCTGTTTACAGCAATTCAGATCTTAATTCATTTAGCTGGACTGATTCTGGCTTGTCTCTCTCCCAGTTTGTCGATCTTCAGTCCCAAGATTTTGACGCTTTTACGAATGAAATAATTCTTCCATTATATCAATTAAGGCATCGATATTTTATTATTTATTATTTACATATACATATAGATCCAAAATTAGCAATTCAGCTGGGTTCGATAAATATTGTCGGGCCTCTCTTCGCGATGCTAATGTTGAAATCGACAATGAGTACTTTAAATTGCTTCAATTGGAGTCTGATATCAATGATTTTCAGTTGGGTATGGAAGATATCAGTTTGCTTTTTTGGCATTATAGCCTCCCGATTGGATACATTCACGTGGGTTCGTAAGGACAACAACAACAGTACTGATGATAAATGTTGTGGAATTCCATCTGAAGCTTGGGAATGGACTACTCACGATGAGTTCTTTAGGGCTGATCTTCTCTCGGAGTTCGTTCATCTTGATAGCTCGTACTTTTGCAGATTGGATAAAATTAAATCAGATATATTGGATCTAGAGCATAATTAGTATGCTGGAAAATTTAATAATGTAGGTTGATTTAGTGATATTTATGCATGGAAACAGAATGATTTCGTGCTCACTGAGTACATTTATGAAGTTTATAACTCCTCTAATCCTTCGAGGTGCCGTCAGCATTGCATTGATTTTCTAAATCGCATACCTAGTCTTGGCCCAAAGAAACCGCATGTGAGTTTAGAACCCCGCAACTTACTTACTACTAATTATTTATAAGTAAACGACATTGTAACATTAGGCACAGTTGCTCGACTTTTTTCGAGAGCATGACATTTTGAAAACGAAGTTGGAGGATACTCTACTCTCATGGACGAGAGCAAAACAGGAGCTTGCAGATAGAATTCAAATTACTCTTGAAGACGCTTTGGAAGAGCATCAAAAAAGAAGTGAGGGTAAAATGAACGCTGAAAAACAGAGATTGACTTGCCAATTGCTCGCTGAGAAAGTCGGTTAGATTTGGTCACTTATTACATATAAGTAGAAATTATTGTCACCGTTCATTTTGCTCTGTTCTGAAGGTCCAAAAGTGGAGAAAAGAAAAAGACGAACTCGTAGAATTGGAATATCGAGTTAAAGAAGCAAATAGAATTACTGAAAGGGAAAGGGGGATGAAGAAACAGGAGAGAGAAGAGAAACGAAGACAAAACATTAAGAATAAGGTAAGCATTGTTTTCCCCAACAAATATGAATTAGTTTTACTAATTTCTAAAACGCATTTTTATTTGCCTGCATTACCAACAAATGATTGACTAACTATTTCTTTTTTTGAAATCTTGAGTATAAAATAAGTAGAATAAGTGAGGGATTGGCTTCTAAGTAAGCAAATTTTGCTTAAGGTGTTTCGATGGTGGAAACGTAAATTAAAAATTTAGGTAATCCTTCTTTGAAAACAAATTTAAAAGAGTTCTTCTTCTAGACCAATTGGAGTGTTATATAAAATATAAATTTGTAGTTGATTGCTACACAATCAATCTCTGTCCGA